CTGATTATGTGACGTTTGACGAGCTGTTGGCCAAGAGTGATGTGATCAGTTTGAACTTGCCTTTGAATGTGAGTTTTTCCGCTTAAGTGGCCATCCACTATTGCCGTGGGTATATCATATGGCCAGATGGACTGACGAAGATGGGTCTCTCACAGAAAAACACTCGCCACATCATCGCCAAGCCCGAATTCGACAAGATGAAAGATGGTGTCGTCATCGTGAACACCGCCCGTGGCGCCGTTATTGACGAAGCAGCCCTCGTTGACGCCCTGGACAGCGGCAAGGTTTACTCTGCCGGTCTGGATGTCTTCGAGGAAGAACCCAAGATTCATCCTGGTCTGGTCCGGAACCCTAATGTGCTGCTTGTCCCCCATATGGGTACTTGGACTGTTGAGGTATGTTCACTGGTACTGTCCGTCTGACCTCGACTAAGACTAACTTGTGACGATGTGATAGACTCAAACCGCCATGGAAGAATGGGCGATGGAAAATGTGCGCTTGGCGATCGAAACTGGAAAGCTGAAGAGTCCTGTTCCAGAACAGGCTGATCTATAGATTTGGCTGAGAATGTGAAACGTTACGTTGCATCCTGTTTGACTTTCGATTGGACTTGTACATGGACTTTATATAGAGGGCCGGGACGTCTGGTTGCGTCGGTATATACATACTATACATAGGGTGGCTTTCAATGCGGGACGATTACATGAATGACATTGTCGCGAGACATCTTCCAATGAAACTTTTAGTTGAATATGGTCCAAAAAGCTAGAATTGAGAAAACTGTACCAGAGACCTCTTATCATTGTATTTCGTAAGAACTTATGCACCCTGAACGCCATGGTGCTGTCCTGCCCTAATTGCGGACAGGAATAAGAATAGCAATCAACTCCTGGGCCATGACGTCCTCCATATCAGGAAAACCAAGATGAAGATAAAGAAAAAAAAAATATAGTCACTGAATGTGAAGGGATATGGGTCGAAACAAATGAACAAGTCTAGTTAAACATCATTAAGAAAGCCAAAAGAATTCGCCAGTGTTGTGCGAGGGCTCTTTTTTCCATATTACAAAATCCACGGCAGAGTCAGCAAATGCAAGGCAGATATATCCCGATAATTTTTACTCCCGTGATACGAACCAGGAACGGACCACCATGCCGCAAATACGTTTGATAACTTGCGTGGTGCCTTTCCCACCCGCTTCCTGTTCGAGGAACTTTTGGGCAACGTAGAGCTTAGCCCCGGCATCCTTTTCATTCGTTGTGATGGGCTGGGGGAAGCTGCGCGGGAAATCTGCCCAGCGTTGTCCGAGATGACGCGCGATAGCAATTGAGTAGATCACATCACGGTTTTCAAACGTATCCAACAGCGTGCGGCAACGGCCAAGAGTATCATCAATCTCTTTGGCTGAGCTAGCCTCGTTGTCATGAAGGGTAAGAAAGTGGGCAATTGCGCTCCAGAAATCCAGCGATCGTTGCGCTAACTGATCTGATAAACCCGGGGGATTTGTAGGCGTGTCCCTGGGGGGGAACTGGGCTAAGGGATTCGAGTCCAGATGTTCGCCTGTAATCATGGCCTCAATAACGTCCAGTCGTTTCGAAGATGCTAGTAAATCATAGTCCTGGATATGATTTCCATTCGATACATTCATAACATGACGGCATAACGTCATGGAGCTCCAAACCACGGACGCTTCAAAACTTTCTAGTCGTGCGATGACATTTGGATCACTGAGATTCTGATCGTTGAATGCCTCAATTAACGCTGAATACTCGGCCATAAGCTGGGCATTGGCCAAAAGGTGAGTCAAAGCCTTATCCTGGAACCAACGCGTCTCGAAGAACTTGTCAATGGCAGGAGCATATGTGGCAAGGAAGACCGCCTTGATTTCTTCTAGACGGTTCGGTTGAATGGCAGTGATAGGATGGGGTGGGGGAGGAGGAATCCCTCTCAGCGCCAGAAGATCGCTAATTTGGACTTGTTTCACTGAACAGGGTATAAGCATAAGAACGGGCATGAAGCCAAGAAAACCTAGATCAAGAACGCACCTCTGAAACTTGTAGGATCCGACGATGCCGTGGTGTTCGCCGGATTGACAGTCGGCTGCAAGCCACCCTCTACAGCATTCTGTACACTGGCCATGTTCGAAGAGTTGTTTCCGTCCAATGTTGGATCGATGGGCGCGCCGTAGTCGTATCTGTCGGTGGACGTGCTGGGAGACTCGGACGGGGCAAAAGGCTGAGAGACCGCGGGCACGTAGCCCGGAGGAGCAGCAGGGTATGTGGGTGTCGACGACGAAGTAGAAGGATCTTGCGGGTTGACCACCAGCGACGGGTGTGGATTCGGAGCTGGTTGTATAGCAGAAGGGGTCGGCTGTTGCTTAAACACCGGATCGTAACCTAAACATTCACGTTTACTTTTGACGCAGTTTCGGCAGACGGGATGGCCTTCGTCGCACTAAAGTATTGCCCACCGTCAGCGTTAATATGGAGAACAGAATGACACCGTGCTGTATTGAATATTTTTCCACGCAAAGAAAAAAAAATGAAAGAAAGAAAGAAAAGAATAATAAAGGCAGCAAGCAGGATTGGGCTGTCGGGCGGGGAGAAAAACAGTGGGCAACAACAAGCGACACCGTGAATGGCGGGGTTTCTTGCAGGCGAGCCGAAGGCAGAGCTTGCGACACAAGCGAAGCGACCACAACACATATTTCCTTCCCCGACGCCCACCCCAACCTGTGGCTCTAACTTCCCCGTCCACAATAAATGGACTAACAGCTTCTTGGTCTTATATTTCGTATCACGTACCTTGATTCTCCGTTTTCGACATGTTAAACAGCCTGTCTTAGTTCTGCGCTTAACTTCCTTCTTATGTCTGCCGCCAGAGAGCATCTTGTTCGGGTCTCCTGGTAATTGATACCGCATTTGCGCACTCGAATTCATTCCCATTTGTCCAACGTTGTTCGGATATCCCGTCATGTATTGGCCTACTGAAGCCATTGGAGGCATGGGCGATCCGATGGGGGCTTGCGGGACATGCGACGTCTGCCCTTGGGACGCGTGATGGTCCATTGTCTGCATCGAGGGTGCGCTCATCGGTGTAGAACCAGTTTGATGGTTGTGATACATGTCGGAGCTCTGCTGCTGGTATTGTTGCGATTGGGGTTGCGCTTGCATTTGACCCTGTTGCTGTGGCTGCTGGGGTTGATACTGCTGTGACGGCGCATGCTGCTGGGGTGCATGTTGCGGTTGCTGCTGTTGATACTGCGGCTGTGATTGCGGATGCGCTGATTGGTTCTGTGGTGGAGGTGGCTGTTGCGAATGTGTACCGTTGGAGGGCAGCTGCCATGAAGAGTCGGGGTTAGGTGAAGGTCCCGGTTGTTCCCCAATATTACTACCTGGTGTCGGCGAAACATGTGTAGTGGACTCCGGCCCGCCAAGTCCTCCGTCATCATGTTTCGGGTCCGAATCGTCAAACGAGAAATTCGTATCTGTACCCAAACCTCCGTCCGTAGCTGGCAAGGTAGTGTCTATCGGAGGTAAGGTTGTGTCAATTGGCGGTAGAGACGGTATTGACGGGTCCAATGGTGGGAGCGTTGTGTCTACATTTGTATCCATTGCTGGCAGGGATTTATCTATAGGAGGAAGAGAAACGTCCACAGCTGAAAACGTAGAATCTTCGGCAGAGGTGGTCGTCGGTGCAGCCAGCGCATCGGTTGGCTCGGGGCCCTGTTTTGGCAGCTCGCCAGGTGTGCTTGCAGGATCTGCTGTTTCCGCCATTTTCCTTGTGGTATGATCTTTTAAAAGCGTGCTGTCGCGCGAAAAATGATCCCAGGTACTGATTAGCGTCGGGCGGAATCGATGAAATTTTGCAGTAGCGAGCCCTCCCCGTAAGGCAAACAAGAAGATATTCTCGATGGTCGATAACCTTATCCGTATAGACTAAAATGCTGGGTGCCTGTCAACAAGTGCGGCGCTCTAGCTGCGGTTTTAAAGGCACGGTTAGTCAACTAATTATAACGCAAGTTGAACTTAATCAATCCGCATAATATGTATCTAAACCCAGAGGCATCTGTCTCAGAGGTGGGAACGGTGGTATTCCAGAGCAGGACAAAAGAGACATGGCTTCTTCCGGGTTGCGCATAACACACTGGCTGGAGATGTTTTGTGAAGTTGTACCGCGAGGACTATCTGCGTATGGCAGGCCCATATGCATCTTACTATTCAAGAAGAACTGTAGAGCATAAATGGTCACTCTTCCCAGAGATCACACTCAGACAGGGCCATTGACAGTATAGTCACCCATGCCTTTTGGGTATTGTACGCGACTGAATGAAATCTTCCGCGGTGCTCACAGCACGGAACAACCACCGCGCATCACCAGGTGCAGTCTCCATATGCGACTGAAACAGAAAGTGAAGAGCTAAATCTCCAGGGATGCAGCGAGTGGAATGGCTGAGGTTTTCGGGCTGGCAGAGGGGAAGAGACGTGTCTCGGATGCGAGTGACCGGGGACAAGCGATGAAACGAAGCTTTCTCGTTTACTTACCATGTACTGGTCCAAATAAGCGAAAAGAAGCGAGCCGAAATACTATTCCACCAGAACTATGAATTCGGGACCAGACAGTCTCCGCATTTGGAGTGGGTTGTGACGAGGAAAGTTGCGATAAGGTCGTTGCGCGACAAAAGTGAGACTTAGCTTAAGGGAAAGAAAGTCTCCTCCCCGGATTTTTGTCAACGCTGCCAAAAGTTGCAACGGAAGGGGGAAAAGAAAAAAAAAAAAATTGACCAGGACCCAAGACAGTGGCAATACAACAACACCACGTCTCTTTTCTTATATCAATGTATCTTTTCTTACAACAACACAACAATAAATTTGTTTCCCATTCAATATTAAATATACTATGAATCTATTTGAATAGTACTATCCCATCAAATCAACCACCAATATTATTCCAAGAGAACGACCTCTCTGCAATATTAGTATCTAATACGAGGTTCCCATGTCAATCTCGGAGAATTAACTGGTGGCCACCATCTGAAATCGATATGTTCAATTTATGTCCCTTGGATCGCACTCATTTTTCACACCATGTCTAATTCTCCATGGTACAATCTCCCTTGGAATATAAAAATAAAAAAGAGAAACCTTGATGTTCACTTGAGTAGATGTCGGTGCTTTGATACACTCCATTGTTGAGTATGTATAGGCATGGCCCGAGCCTTCTTCAGATTAACTCACGCCCATGATCCATTTTGTTAGCCAAAATCTATCCATCCACGATCAGGAGAGAATAACCTTGACCCAGCAGGCAACCGCAACCGATAATTGGCTCAGTATTCTTCCTGTAGACAAGCCATCCGCAATGCATAAATAGGGCCGTATCGCTCTGTAGTTCATTTCTGGTATATTCCTTTTCCTTTCTCAGTGGGGTTTCACTAAGCAATAGCTGAGAGGACATCATACTTTACCCCTCGGTCAAGTATGGTCAAGACATGCACTGGTTGTGGACCAGCAAATGAACATGAGTTTACGGATGAGCCACTCATCCGGTACGTGAAGTAGCGCAACATAGACGAATTGAAGCGCATACCCAATGTTGGCCTATTTTCTCATAACCTTTGGTTTGCGCTTCTTAAAAACGACGCCCGTACTCGCTTCTTCTGGTTCACTCTTAGCCACGGGCCCAGGAGGCACGGCAGCAGCTTCCGACGGTTCCTTTTCAGTTTGCGGCATCTGCTCCGACTCTGCAGCTGCAGAGTCACCCTCGCCTTTAGCCAGGACATCAACAGCTTCCTCATCGTTCTCTTTAGGAGTCGCCTCAGAAGTCGAAGGTTTCGCTTTCTTAACATCCTTCGTAGACTCTAGGAGGGCATCCAAATCCGCATCGTCCTGCGCACCGGGGTACTCCCGAGTCCTCGACCCCCAACCCTTGCTAACAAACCTCTCCGCCTCCCGTTTAGCCTCCTCCTCTTCCTCATCCCCCTCATGCTTGCGCTTGCGAACCCCAAGCGAAGGACCCGTCTTTTCTCCATCCGCGCCAATCACTTTCTCGGAAACAGTCTGCCACTCTCCAGCCAGGGCCATATCACCACGGTACTCGTCCGGTATCGCAACACCCATCTCCGCCAATTGCGCCATCTGCTTTTTCCTCTCGTCCAGGGAAACTGACCGCGGTGGCGCCTGGGGAACTGGTGCTGCTGGCTTCCAGGAGGCTGCATTGCCGCTATTCCCAGCAGTGTTGCCGGAGACAGTTTGTCTGAGTCGTTCAACCTCATTCTTTGCCCTCTGAGTTTCCCGCTGTTGGCGCTCATTGTCTCGGTGGATGTCCCGTAGGAATCGCTTTAAGTTTCCTTGGTGTTTGCCTGTTGCTTCATGTTGGGTCTTTTCGAATGCCGTATCTCGGATGAAAATCTTGCATTGTTTGCACCAGTATCTGGGCTGTAGTTAATAACGTTAGCTTGTTGGTTTGGGTGTCTTGCGGAAAAACGTAGAAAATGATGCGAATGAAATGGGAAAGTGTGTTTAAAACTTACGGCTGACTTCCAATGCTCTGCCATATTTGAAAGGATTATTCTCTGTCCAGCGCGTGAAATATTATTGTGTTATATGAGTTGCTATTTGAGAGCTAATGATATCACTTTAATTGCGACTCGGCGATAAATGATGCTTCTGAGCGATCGGAGCTAATCTCGATGTGGTAATCACGGGGCTGGTCACCGTCACATGGAAGTATATCTTCACTCTCGTTCGCAAATACCATCATGGTTATACTATATCTAGTGTTACTAAGATATGTATCGTAACTCATCCATATAAAGGTTCTAAGTACATACTTCTACGTCCACATTAGGGCTGAGTCGCTATCTCCACTCTGATCCTTGCCTCAGTAAGATCAGACTGGAACAAGAACCCAATATCCCTCGTACTATCCACAAGCTCAACCTCTCTCTTAACGAATGCGGAGCTATCGCTCGGCTGCAGTGAGTTTATACCCTCATCTTCGCTGTCCCATCCGTCCTCATCATCTATATTCTGCTTACTGACGGGGTCCAACTCGTCCGTCTCCCAAATCAGCCTGAACTCATAAGGCGCTAGGCCAAACAGACGTGAAACAATGGCCTTAACTTGGTAAGTATCAAAGGATCGAGGTATCTCCTTCACCTTGATTTCCTCCCTTGAAGCATCGTTTTGTTTCCTGTCCGAGCTGCCAGAAACCGGTAGTTCTCGGCGTAAGCGGAACGCTATCCTCAACAATCGCGCAGCAACAGACCGTGGATTCACAGTGACACCTGACCCAGTCGACACTGTAGCTCTCCTAATCATAGGCTCACCATATATCTCGCAAAGCTCACTATATCTCGGGTGCTTTGCTAGGATCTCCTCCTCTGCACTTTCCGGAAAAGCAGATAACTCCTTTCCAATGAGCGAGAGGTAATAAAGCTCTCCATTGCTGCGATCTTTTTCTGTTATTGTGCCATAGTTGAGCATTTTTAAAGAGCCAATTCGAGAAAGAGTTAGCATATATGCCTCGTCCACTGTCATTGTCTTCTCTGGTAACCCAGTGACCGTTGATTGGCCCACAGGTTGGTCGTAGAGGGGATTCCCGGAAATACGGAGAGTCTGTAGCCCGGGAAACACAAGTGACAGTTGATTGATGAAAAGCCAATTGTCGATTCTATTCCTGGATAGATCGACCGACTGAAGGTTATCTGGAAACCGCAGAGGGGATGCTTCGTCTGAACTGGATTCATAGATCTTATCAACTTGGTTTCCACGTAGTGAAAGACGGTTCAGACTATCCAAGGAGATGAGTTTTCTGAGGGAGGATAGAGAGGAGATTTCATTATCTTCCAAGGTTAATGTTGTGATTGTGCTCGAGAGGGGTGATGGGATAGATGAAATCTGGTTAGCGGAGGCGGTTAAAGTAGCTAGGGACGAGAATTGATATGTGAGAGCTGATATCTGTGAATGACTCATTAGTCGATGCAAAATTGAGGACCAGGTAATTCCGATATACCTCATTCCAAGAGAGAAGCGTGTTATCCAACTGGAGCTCCGTAATCCTCTCAAATTTCAAGCCCTCCCCTACAGGGTCCATTCGGTTTCCACTATCCATTGTGTTAATCACAATAAATCACACTCTTGAGCTGCCACTTACTTCAACTTCAATGTTTTTAAGCGCTTGAGCGAGTCACATATACTTGCAACATCACGCCAACGGTTCAGCAGATTTCGGCTGAGATCAAGCTCGATGATCTTAGGGCAGGTCTGCTCGATCTCTTTGCAAACTGGCTGGATTTGCTCTATGCTACCCTCATGAGCAAGGACTCCTGCGACCAGTAGCCCATCTAAGAGGACGATCTTCAGCTCTTGCAGCTCTGCAAGTTGTTTTCGAATTTTGTCGAAACCAACTTCTTCTACAACCTTGCCGCTGATTTCAATTGGCTTGTGTAGGGCATCACCAGAGACAGTATCACCAAGCTTTCTCCTGGAGATTTCCTCTTCAAACTCAGATTCATACTTCTCACGCAGAGCCTCTAGAAAGCTTCTGGGTTTGTCCGCAGCTCGAGACGGACGCACAAATGACCCTGCAGTGGGGTGTTTGCTTTTGCCTATGATAAGTATGAGCGAGTGAAGTAAGATGGGAACAGATTTTCCAAAACAGATTAATTGTCAAGAATAAGGGATGGATGCTGTACATGAGAAATATCTCACTCCTTGATGCTCTCCAAAGTGCTTCCCCCGTGTTGGGTCGTCCCATTCCACGCCTAACCATTCGCCGGTGGTGCCTGCAACTTTCCCCGCGTAGCGGATGGTGCACAATTCGCCATTATAAGATCGCCGTTGATTCACACAGCTTACTGAATCCATTATCATAGGCTATTCAGTGCAGATTACCCTATTCGCAGGCATTCAATGGACATTCTATAGTTGACTTTGAAACCCAAGGGCTGTCAATTACTAGGACAAACAGTCGCTCTCGTCCAATAACAGTCGACGATGCTGCTGACATAATATTTCCATGGAATTTCCCTTTGAAGCTTATCACCTGCCGCGCTTCTTCTCCTCCGCTACTATCGGGAAATTCCAAGTTTTTTTAAAGCAGATCAGAATGGATTTCCAGGTGAGTTGATATACTGCTCCTGCAAGTGTTCTGTTCACTACGTGTGTTGTATGCTAACGCCGTTGAAGAATCGTGCAGGGTCCAAATTCGGTGGCGGTGGTGTCGCATCGCAATCCGCGACCAACGCAGACCGCCGCGAGCGTCTTCGCAAGCTCGCTCTTGAGACGATCGACCTAGACAAGGACCCGTACTTTTTCAAGAACCATGTAGGAAGCTTTGAGTGCCGTCTGTGTTTGACGGTTCACCAGAACGATGGCTCTTACCTCGCCCATACCCAAGGCCGCAAGCATCAGACGAACCTGGCTAGACGTGCCGCGAGGGAGCAGAGAGAAGGAAAGAACCAAGATCCATCAACGCTACCGGGTGCGATGGGAGTTCAAGTTAAGAAGCAGACAATCAAGATTGGTCGGCCTGGTTACAAGATCACGAAGATCAGGGATCCATTGACGCGACAGCTGGGTTTGCTGTTTCAGCTGCAGTATCAGGAAATTACACCAGGTGTTCAGCCTCGAGTACGGTTCATGTCGGCTTTTGAGCAGAAGGTTGAGGACCCCCCGGACAAGAATTTCCAGTATCTTGTCGTAGCCGCGGAGCCGTACCAGACGTGTGGTTTCAAGCTTCAGGCTCGGGAGATTGACCGCAGGGAGGGTCGTTATTGGACTTGGTTCGACGAAGATAGCAAGGAATTCTGGGTTCAAATCATGTTCAAGACCGAACGAGAGGAGAGATTTAGTGGTGTCCCAGGTCTGGCACCGATGGACCCCAAGGTGTGAATTGCCTAAAGTGGTGTTGTATGCATGGGTCTGCATGAGAAGGAAAAATTGACGAAAATATCTTTCCATTCAACGGAGGAGCATAGGGCGTTTGAGGACCTTTTTTTTTATTTTTTTTTATTTTTACTACAGCTTTATGTGATTCAAATTCATGTTACCCCAGCTATTGTAATTTGGCCGAGAGCAGGCCTTCCGATGGCGTCCATTACTATATCTTACTCTTTCTCCGACTCAGCTGATACAAACATCGACATTACTGAGTGCCATGGAAATTTACAAGGATTGAAGCCATTGCCAAGTCCAAATATCTAATGGGATTGCCACCAACCGTTTTATATGCAAACTAGTCTGAAATGTGAAAGGTACAACATTGTACTTTGGGTATTTTTCCTGATATATGCATTGATGCATCATGCTAGAGGAAACAAAAGTAGCCAGTTATTCGTGATCCGCACTTGTAGGTGTCAAGGGCTCTGAACTTTCAACCAAATAATGCTCTTGTTCGTAGTTCTTAAGGCTAGACACAGAGTGCAACTAGCGGGCGTCGTCTTGCGACATGCAAACACAGTAAGGAAGATGCACAGGTCGTTATCAATGACATAAAATGCCAAATGCGCTAGACGCTAGATGAAATCAAATGAACAAAGATATATCGAGAGTAGATCCTAGATGAGCCACTGGAAAGACTTCCGCGCAAGCCTGCCCGCGGACCGGCTTTCCGAGGCGCTCATCCTGCATACATCGATCATCCCGAGTATCAGTTCGATTCTCAGTTATTTTGGAAGGCATTGAATGCCTTGTATGTGTATCCGATAAACGGAAGGCTCATTTCAGCCTCCTGTTCCTCGGGCATGGCACGGGCCTGAGCACGATGGATAGCACTGGTATCTTCCTGAGGAATTTCGTCAATGGGGAAGTATGACACATCAATATTCGAGCTCAGTCGAGGTTCGAATGGAGCGCGAATGTTGCGAAGCTGCTCCCAAACAACACCACGGAAGAAGGGATGGTTCTTGATCTGTGTAGCACCACCAAACTGGCCGCCATCGTTGCCAACACGGTGCTCTGCATCACAAAGGAAGCTGTATATAATGGTCAGACGAATGTACGTGAATATAGTGCGAAGAGCGGGGAGCGGTAAATACCTTCGGATTAAGCCCTCGGATTCGCGAGAAAGAGTAAGCTCTTCAGGGAAGTAGAGACATTCCCTCCAGTTCACGATCTTCCGGTAGGTATCGGTGGTGTCCTCAGCACAGAAAGGTGGCCATCCCACAAGACATTCAAACATGATGGCACCGACAGACCACCAATCGCAAAGATAAGTATATCCTTGACCGTTGAAGATTTCAGGTGCAATGTAGTCAGGCGTGCCAACCGTTGAATAAGCCATGGCTCGACGGGACTTTCTCCATGTATTGATTTGGCCACGGTTTGATACCGTCAGATTGATCGCATCGTTAAAGTATCCGGAGTTGCGGTTCTTATCCTTGGAGGTAGAATTTTTCAACAAGTTTTGGTAGTACGAATTGTCGTGAGTCTTCTTGCCACCAGTCGAGAGACCGAAATCGGTAAGCTTAACATGACCACCACGGTCGAGAAGAATATTGTCAGGCTTAATATCACTATAATTGAGTCGCTATCAGTAAATGGTACATTATTTTGAGCACCAATGAACGTGTTGGAAAAGAGATGTTGAAGAAGGTGGG